TCCACCTTTGAAATTTAACTGTATGTTTATGATAGATGACCGGAAGAATGAATTATATAATTATGTTAGAAGCTAGATTGCCCCTAAAAATGTTCAAACACAGTCTTGTTGTAGATTAAAGTAATGATGCAGTGCTTCTGCACTGCCTTCAGTTTGACTAACTACGGATGCAGTTTTGTTCGGAAATTGACCCTTTTCTTGCTGGTATTTGTGCTTCGTCTTAGTGGATGACCGCAATCTGCGGGTAGCTGATTTTGCTCAGTTTTGGGCAATTGCAAAGGTATACCCTCTATTCTCTCTTATACGGCCTCTGCATGTGTTCTCTGGGGTTACTTTGGAAGTCCATGACTTTTGGTCTTTTTACATAGGCGTTTATCATGTACTGCATGCAGTGTAGGTTGGTAATGCTTGTTTGCTGTCGTTCTCCAAGTTATCTGTGTAAAACTGAATCTGAAACAGATAATTGAATATATACATAATTAAAGAACTATGTCTATCAATTCCATTTGCTGTCATCTGTTTTAGGTCGTTCGTACTTCATATATTTCTAAAACCTGATGTTCTGTATTTGTATATAAATTAGCTTTTTTTAAGTTACCGCATCTGTACAGAGCATCAGGATGTTGAACAGATTAAGAAATTTAATTTCTATGATATTTCTTGATATTCTCTTTTTGACTTTGTTATCCTTTATTCTGTTTTCTTGGTGTGGTTTGCGATTTAAATTTAAACGTTAAGGAACCTTTTGTGAAACTGTTAACTGTGCTTATTGCTATTTTAGTGAAAAGAGGAACAGTAGTATCATTTGACTAGTTAATCTAATATTGGTTACGACTTGTGATGTATGTCTTTCCATTGTTGTTCATTAATTTTTGTGAACACTTTTCAAACATACGCTAACGGAAAACTTCTGTACTTTTACATGTTGTGTTTTCATTGTTACTACGATAAATCTTCTCTCACTGCTTTCCATCCACTTTATGCTGTAGTATGAAACCTTTTGCATCAGACAGGGTGCTGAGAGGTTATTTGAGGAAATTGTATTGAAACAAATCGACCCAAATGAAATATATTTAGGGTGGGTATTTATAGAAAGAGTAAAAGGCATTCTAAAGCTGCTCTGTATGTAGAAGTTACTGGCCATATGGATCTCCTTTCACGTGTAAAGTAAGATTCATTTTACTTAATTGGCAGTTGGGTTGGCGTGGCTTGCCTTGTATTATTTACTTTCTGTTTTTGTGAAGTTGTGGCGGTCGTGAAGTTGCTATAGCTTTGAATATTCCATGGCTTCAGGGTTGGTTAAATTTATGTTTGTAGCGTAAGCTTGCTTTTATGCAGTTGAGAGTATTCATTCGACTTTATGATATTCAAAGATTTTAGGAAAAAGGTTTGGACAATTAGTATCACCTCGAGTGATGATAAAAACTTCTTTTCTCCTTGTCTATATTACATTGTCATCACGTGTCAAGGCTTTTGATTGATATCTATCGAGTTCTGATCCTCATAGGACTTCTTTTCTTTTGATCTAACCTGGATGATATGTTCCATTGAAACATGCATAACGCTTGGCTTTTCAATTCTTACAAACTGATAGTTCTGAATGATAATAAGGATTCATTTATTTTTTGTAATGCTCTGATAGTTCTGAATGATAATACGGATTCATTTATTTTTTATAATGCTCATACCAAGCCGTATTGTGACCATTAGGATTGTCTGATGTTGATGTATGTAACTTTATTTGCGTGCGATCATGTTGTTTACTGTTGTCACATGTTGGTGCGAAATAGTAACTCCCATTCAGTCATTTGATCTGCAAACTGTTGCTTCAGATGAAATTTTAGATGGGTTGACTGGATTGAGAAAACTTTCCTTTGTTTGGTCATCCCTCTTTCCCACAAGTCAGTGAGGTTTATACTAATATGATTTGTGCGCGCACGCGCACACACACAGACATATAGTTTTATCATTCATTTAGACGGTTTTGATACATAAATGGCAACGTGTGCAAAATTAAACATGTATAAAATTAGGACATTCAAAAATCTTCCCAAATGAGCTTGTCCAAAGACACATTCCTTGCAACTTTTGTTGCATCTGCATTAACTCTATTCCTCTTGTTTATATCTTGTTTTTACCATCCTCTTGAAAGCTCACAGCTCATTCATCTGCTTAAACCATCTTTTATTCATTTAATTGCAGAGATCTGGGTACGAGGTTTACATACTGGAAGCGACATACAAGGATCCAGCTGTGAGTTACTCGTTATGACTTTGTTTCTTTGTTATGAAATTCATTGAAGGTGCAATAAGGACTGTGCAGTGGGAGAGGTGGTCTTTGTTGTTTCATGGTTTTAAGGGGCGCGCGCGCACACAGAGAGAGAGAGAGAGAAATTGGTATGCTGTCTTATGGACTATTCTTGTTCTTCTCGGATTTCAGGGCTGTGCTGCAAGGAATGTGCATGGTTTCTCCCATGGTGACATACAAAAGATGGCTAACCAATGGGAAGAAGCTCCGTCTCTGTATATAAAGCTAGACATCAAGGTATTCCTATTTTATTTTCCTTTTTCTGTTCTCATAACCCGTTGTCTTGTTGAGATTTTTGAGACAGATGACTAATCTAATTTCAGTGCTTGAGTTCTAACATTGAATGTTCTACGACATGGCAGTCGTTACTCAATGGAGATGATTTGGAGCAAAATGGCATCCAAGAGGTAAATTGTTATGTTAATGGTTGTAAGATTCCTTCTATCTCCAGACCTGAATGAGATATTTTAGTAATAATGGAGGAAAGGAAGTTCCCCACAAGGGAAGAGAAAATTAAACTCAAGAGTAACAAGAAGCCTGTATTCCCTGTTTGCAATGCTCAACCAGTGTTTTCTCAAGTGCCATAATTTAGGAGCTTATATAAGAAATGTTCAATGAAAAGATTATTCCTTTGGTTGTCAATTATATTGACTCTCGCATGGCATCCTGGTTGATGTCTTTCTCATGGTATGTCTATCATGCTGCAACTAAAAAAAAATATTATCATATTCTAGATTACATGCTTAAGAGAAAGTTAATTCTGTTAATTACGTTTTGAGGTATTATTTGTGAAGGCCATGTTGCATGACTATTTCCTAGTCTACTGCAAAAAGTGTAATACTTGAGGTACTTGGAATACGAAACTCTGTGACTGCTTTATTTATTGGTACTTGATTCGTGCTTGTCATATCTGATCTGCCAGGTTGACATGGATGCAGAAGATGTTGATCATAATTGTGATCTCTCTGGTTCACAAGAAAGAAATGTTGAAAATTTCCCGGGTCCTTCTAGAAAAGATCTTCCCTTTGATTGTATGTTTTCAACCTGTGCATATTCCTTTTTTTTAAACATAAAATAAAATAAAATAAAATGTATTGTCTTTATCCATTTGTATGACATGTTCAATGTTCTGTGTAGAAAAATATTTTAAGAAGCAAGTGATGTTTCTTTTGGTTGCAATTGCCAAAAACATGCTCACTGCCTTGTCTTTTTATGCTTCTTCGATGATCTTGTTTAAGCAAGTTATGATATATTTTTGTTTCTTTCTTTCACTTAATATTGAACATTAGGTCTTGGTGTTGCCACTTGCCTGTACACCCATCGAAATCTCTCAGAGATAGTAATATCGTAAAATGGTGGTTTTTAATTTATAGGATGACAATGCTCAAACAATATGTTAAATTCAAATCCATCCATAGGGCCAGGCTTTGTTGAGATTGCTTAATTTATCTTTAATATAGTTCATGTGAAATGTGAAATTTTAGGTCCATCAAAAGATGATCAGAAATGGGACACTGAGGAGGATCATCCTCTGGAGGAAGTCATAGAATTACGAAAGAGTAAGTGGTCAAATGATTTGGACGAGGATGATATGAGGACAGAAGTGACCCAAGGAAATTTAAATGCTCTTTCTGGGTTGATTCAATCTTACAGCAAGGAAGGTAAATCTGTGCGTTGGGCCGATAAGGTATGACTAATCCACAAAATTACTCAGTTACTCCCTGCCATTGTATACTTGATAATTCTCAAGATGATGAAGGCTATAATCCTCAAATCATAACAGGCTAGGTTTTATGGGCTGATTTTGCAATCTGTCAACGTGTGATCATTGATACATGATAAATGAAACCTTTAGCTATAAGCATTATGCTTTAGATTCATTTTTCAGGTTGGCAGCAGTGGATTTTCAATAGGTGCAGTTAAAATGTCAAACATGTTATCTTTAGTAATTGGTCCTGGCGCTGGATACAACCTGGTGAGTTGCCGGGTATTATTATATCGTTATTTATTTGGGTTTTCTACTTGATTTTAATACTAAAAATACTCTTAAGATATTGTAAATATAAATTTTCTTTGCTGAATGACCTTAAATTACATTGGTTGAGAGGGGTCCATCTGTTGCCATCCAGGCATATATTAGTCTTGAAAAACTAAGAATACTTCTCTCTGATGACTGTCAACTTATTCATGCGTCGTTTTATGCATATCTTATATGTTTCGCCCGATTGCAGAAGTCAAATCCGTTGCCCGAAGAAGAAAAGCTGAGTTTCCAAAGAAGTGACGAATCAAAGAGGCAAAACATATTCCAGGAACAATTACGTGCTGAGCGTGAGTCTTTCAGAGCTGTTTTTGATAAGAGGAGACAGAGAATTGGCAGACTGGACTTGGACGAAGAATGACACTTGAGAAGACCCTAATGAAACTTCAGAATCTTCTCGTGATGTTAGTTCTTCATCCCTTTTCTTTGGAGTTTTGTCTATCTGCCATAAATTGTTGTATAATGTATTAGGTTAAATATAAGCAAATTTGCAATCTAATGTGAGTAGGGACTGAGTGTCATTCTTTGTAAAACCGAGGCTACTGGCATTATAAGTCAATACAATCTATATATAATGAATTTTGGAAGCTACAGCTATATTGACTTAATTTGACAACTTATTGCATGATTGGGAAGTATTTATATAGGTTTAAATTATAAATGGATAGAAATGAAAGATTGATTAGTTGTAGTATTTGTCCCTCGAAATGTGTGAATAAAAAGCGACTTGAGTGTTTATAAACAATTAATAAACATGAGCCAAACATAGGCTTAGTGACATAGTAGGGGCATAATCATGTTTTATGCACACGGGTACTGGAGGAGAATTGCAATGATTACATTTGCTATTGAGTTTTCTATCTCAGGCAAGGTCTACTCTCTACTACAGGAAGCTGATAAGGAATAAAATGAAACAGAACCAATGACCAAACATATTTTAGAATATAAACCATGCTAGGCCGACTCTATATATGTACGTTGAATCCGTGCTGCAGGATATTGAGAAATATGTTAAAGCATTGTAATTCAAATAGGGACATAATAATTTTATAGAAGAATGTGCAGAAAACATTATGAATATCTTACTTGACTAGGTTGGGGAAGCTTTGATGCCCCTGCTCCCAACAAGTTGCTGGTCGGGATCGTGGAACTATCACTCGAGAAGTATGTAAGCTGGTCGAAACATCATGAATATTCTTACACAATAAGATGAAAATGATTGCTCAATACATTGCG